GGGTAGCGCAGTGGGAGGCTGTGCACCCGCTGTGGTTCAGGCCTGGTCTCCCATGCCAGCCCGCCAAGCAAGGGTGTGCTTCTTTGTGCCTCAGTTTCCCCGTCTGTACAAGGGGGCTACTACTCCTGCCTGTAAAGATTTACCGCCTCGGACACCCACAGGAGCAGTTCTGCTCCACCCGTAGGGCGGCTAGTCAGATTGAATTCTGTGGCAGCGTTTGAGTTTTTAAGCTGCCTAACAGCCCTGGAGGGAGCCCTGGGGATGGTGTTTATGCGTCCAGTTGCCGTCAGTCGGCAGTTTGAAACCAGCAGCCATCCCGCAGGAGAAAGCCTCGGCTTTCTGCTTCCCTAAAGAGTTAGTCTCGGAAGCTCACAGGGGCACTAGTTCTACCCTGCCCTATAGGGTTGCTAGGAGTTGGCATCGCCTTGATGGCAGTGATTTTTTTTGGGGGGGGTGTCTGAGGGCCTCCATGGTGTAGGGGTTACACGTCGTGCTGCTCACCCCAAGATAGTTTGAAATCAACCACCACATGTTAAGAGAAAGATGAGGCTGCCTGCACCGGGAAATACGTATGGTCTCAGAAACCCACCCACCACGGGCAGTTCTACAAGGGTCCCTGGAGTCCACATCAACTTCACAGCAGGGAGCTTTGCAGTTTTTTAGAGTCCTGGTGGCTCAGGTTATGGGCTAGATTGCCAGCGGCAGAAAGAGGTCTACTCCTGTGAGGATTTCCAGGCCGGCACCCCTCCCCCACAGCACAGTTGCAATGAGTCCTACACTGAGCCTTGGTTGACCTGGCAGGCCTATCAATCCCGACAAGGGCTCACGAAGGGGCCAGTCGGACCAGCAAAATGTGCTTCTGCGGAAGTCCGGGAGGGGGAGGAGCCATCTTATTACAATGTTGGGGACCATTTGGCACGGGCCTGGGAGGTGTAGGAGGAGCCATTGGAACCCGCCAGCTGCTGAGGGTGAGCAATGAGGCTGTCTGCTTCTGTAAAGCATGCCCACTCTGTCCTCAGGGCCACGGTGAGTTGGACTCCACCCAACAGCAGTGGGTTGGGTTTGTTGGGTAGAGCAAATGGTTTGCTCTCACTCAAAGGTTGGTGGTTCGAACCCACCCAGTGGATGGGCTCAGCAGGGCTGAATGTCCTGGGGGGGGGCAGCTATGGCACTGTCATATTTTTGTGTTACCTCCCCTGACAGGTAGTCAGTTCTATAGGGGCAGGGCTTTTTGTCTAATGCAGTCACTGCTATGTCCCCAGCACCTAGCAGGCTCTGCTAGTCACCCGTACAGGGTGAGTGGACATGGACAGGGTATTGTGCACACGTGACCCCAGCCCCCAGTGACCACACTGCACGGTTGCTTAGAAAAACCATTTTAAATTAAAAAAAGAAGCATCAGTGCACACAGATGGGGACAGACAGACAGAGACAGAGGGCCCAGCCCTGCCTGCTCTGGCACCCCCTGGGGGAGTGGGCAGTGGGGAGCCTCCCAGGAAGTTTGGGACATCTGAGGCCAGTGGGCTAATCCTTTGGGTGTCGCGTCAAGCCCTGTGGGCTCAGAGGTCTGCTTTCCGGAAACTCGTTCTGTTCATGGGGTTCCTGGGGATGAGAGGGGTGGGTCAGCACACACACAGCCCCCCGGAACCCCATGCTGCTCCTCCCATCTCTTCCGCTGCACTGAGCCGTCCCCATTGCACAGAAGTGGCAGCCGATGCCTAAATTTCAACCGGCTGCATTGGTAACACGTGTTCACATTCTTGTGCAAAGATTCAAGCACACGTTTCCTCGCGCCCCCACCCTGCGCCTGTTTTTGCTGGCTCCTCTTGCCCTCCACGGTACGGGCCAGGCACCTGAGGCCAGGTGCAGCCGGCGCCAGCAGATGCGGGAGGCGCTGGGTGAGCAGCGGCTGCAGCGCCTCCCGCAGGCGGCAGTAGTTCCGCTCCAACTCTCGGTGGTACTCCTTTTGGTCCGGCCCGATCAAGGCTTTGTTCTTACGCAGGGCGTCCTCACACCTGCGGGCCAGAAGGGAGGAGACGGGAGCGTGGGGGCAGGCACGCTGGGCAACGGATCCAGCTGCCAGGGGGGCGGGGCGGGGTAGAGAGGCTGTGACCAGCAGGCACGGAGGGATGGGGCACCCGGCCTACTTTTTGCAGAAGTCCTTGAAGCACAGGCGTAGCTTGTTGTGGTGCCTGAAGAGCTTGCGGTCTTCCGGGATCTCCGCCAGAAACACCTGGGCCACCTCCAGGGGACCCTGCGGGGGGTCAGGGGAGGGGGAAATGGTGAGGGCCCCTGCCTGGCACCTGCACAGGCTCCTGGGGTCCCCGCCGGCCATCCCTCCCCACCAGCCATGCCTGGTTCACGGTGGGCCCCACAGAGCCCTGGAGCACCATTTGCAGCATCTTGGGGTCCGGCGGGTCCTGCTCGGTGGCAAAGGCGAGCTCCCGTGTCTTCTTCTGCATGTCTTCAATGGCCACCTCCACGGGGGTCAGCACCGTCTACGGGGCCAGGGACGCGGCCTGTGTTTACTGGGCGTCAGCCCAGGGCAACTTCGACTCTATGGGATGCAGGTGAGGGGGCCGAGGGGTTGGGCCACACAGAGTCCGCTCCCTGGGGCTGGCCTCAGGCTGCCTGTCTGGTTCCGGCGGTGCCCCGCGCGCGCGCGCACGCACCTCCTCCCGGTGGCAGACGCGGATGCGCGTCTTGATGTAGGGGAAGGCGTGGGCCGTGCTGAGCAGCGTCTTGCGCTTGTGCTGCTCCGGCAGCTCCCCGTGCGCGCGCCCGTCGGGCGTGAAGGGCGTGCAGAACAGGAACGTGCGCAGCCCGTAGTTGCGGTCGAAGTAGGTGACCCGATCCTTCAGCTCGTAGGTGTCGAAGTAAGGCTCCACGTAGGTGATCTGGATGTAGGCCTGGGCAGGGCGCGGGGCAGTGAGGGTCCCACAGCCCCAACCTGTGAGGGCACCGTCCCCCTCCAAGGGGGAAGCTGGACGCCGGGGTCTGAATCTCGGGTTCCCTCTGAAAAACTCAAATTCATGGTCTGGGGAGTTGATTCCAACTTCCCCGTGGGTTTCCGAAACGATAATCCCTCACGGGCACGGTCAGCCTCCTCTTCCTCCCGAAGAACTTGGAACTACGTTGG